AAAAGCATATTTAAAAATATTACCTCTTTCTCTCTCTCTCTCTCTCTCTTTCTCTCTCTCTCTCTCTCTCTCCCTCTGTCAGAAATCATCGATATAAATATCTAATCGCTGGGATCGCAAGCAGAACTTTCTGTCTGACATATTGACGCTGAAAATGCCAGATATTCAAAGTATCTTACTTCGATAATATCTATCGTCTCCAGGTAGAAGTATACGCTCGATCAATTGAACACCGCGAACGCGCCGTTAATCGCTCGCTACGCAGCAAACGTACTCGAATCCCGGGTTTCATCCTGCTGATGATTAACACAGCTCGTGGTATCAGCCACGGCAGGCGAATGCGCGTCGCGCGCGGGAATGCAGATTGCATGCACGTAGCGTATAATACGGCTTAAAGCGTTAGGGCTCTCACTCTCCCCCGCGAATACTCATCGTATAGCACCGGAGACGAATGCGATTGAATAGCGCGTCGAATTTCCGTGACGAATACACGTATATGTAGGTATACGAATCCTGTATCTCCCTCGTTTTGTCTTTCTCGTATATCTCGCCTCGTAGTATCTTCTCGTAGTTCGTCCCCTTCTCTCTTTCCCCCGCGTGTCTCCCGCACACAGTCACGGTATTATGGCGTAATTAGGCGATAGGCTTTATACGATTTGCCATGTTAAATGCACGAATGAAAGAGCCCCCGAAGTCTGAATGTCGAGAGCCGTAAGTGTGGGACGTCCCATGGTGACATTCGACGCGATTATTGTGGAACGCTCCTTTCCAGCGACGTGACGGCGTATTGTGCGTCGACTACTACGGCAGCTTCTTTGCGGTAAACCCGATTCTCTAATCGGGGTAAATATACGATGGCAACGGCGTCGGTTGCTCGTAAACAATGTCGATCCGCGCGTAGAATGTCTAAAGGTGAGCCTACACGGTCAATAATGCTGTATTAACAAATACTGACAATATTACTCATCGCGTGTGGTTAATATTAATGGATTGATGTAGAATACTGACGGTGATTTGAATTTTGATTCTCAAACATCGGTATCGCTTTATTAGAATCCACAGTGTCACAGTACATGTCACAGTGTAATAAATAATGTACGTAAAACTGAAATGAAATATAATGTCAATAATACTGGTAATATAAGGTTGTAAAAATATTGAAAATATTGATACATATTGTTAGTATTATTGATTCAATATTATTAATCAGTATTATTGATCGTGTAGAGTCACCTTAAGCCGTTTTCTAGGCCGATATTTTCGAGCAAGAACGAAGTAGAATATTTTTTGTGAAAAAAGTTTCTTTAAATCTTTTTTGAAAAAAAAATTGAGATAAAAATAGCCATTGTTTTGATGGCTATTTAACTTATTTATTTAAAAAATTTAAGTCTGAAGATTAAATTTTATAGATACTGTAAAAGTATTGTCTTCTGAAGTTACATTTTTATTATTTACTTTTAGCTTCAATGCCACAAGCAGATTAATTTGCTAATATATTTGCTTAGAAAATAGAAACAAGCAGAGTTAGAGAAATATATTACAAGAACGAATATTTAACGATAAGAGACTGATATACAAAAAAGTTAAGTAGAGTTTCGCAGAAAAGCATAACGTAATGAAAACGATTCGAAAATCTGAAGCAGAAAACTCATAAATAACAGCAAATTGTTGCAAAAGAGCAGAAAATTGGCCGCGAACCTCCTTATAGTACAGAACGCAATTGCATTAGATTGAATTGTATTATGTTTCGAAGGAAGCCTTCCGTAAGATCTATAACCGTTTAACGCCTCGTTAACTATTCATTATTAACGTGCCGTTAAACAGGAATAGATCCTATAAACGACGCGCGCGAATTAACGTTGATCAATGAAACGTCTTTCGACAGTCTACATCTGGAACGGATTGGTGCATTATCGGATTGATCGATATCGAAGTAAAATGAAAACGAGAAATATCATTAAATACGTGATTCGACCGCGTTGTCATAATTAAGAAAATTTCTGTGAAGCTGTGTGCAAAGCAAATTTTTCCGAATGTATGCACACTGCTACAGATTACGGGAATTAAAGATAAAGAAAATAACGATTGTAGAAATTATGTTGCTGAATGCTTTGAGAGATGTAAATACTCCAATATTCAAAATTCAAGAATAATTTGGCAATTAAGAAAAATTAAGATTGCTTCGATTATTGTAGTTGTTTTGTGTAAGTCCAACATATAGTGAAGTTCTTATTATTGTCTTCTTTCGTCAGTTAGAGAGAGAGATGTAGATTTCTCAAAATAATAATGACGTAAGTTTCATTACGTAACGATTATGTAACGATGTATATGTGTGTCAAATTTTCCTAAGAGATAACAAATACAACATTTACATAAGCTTTTTGATAAGGCAAAGTTAAATATATCTTTGCGTCTACTTGTGTGTAAATATAATGAAGGGGGGGAAAAAAAAAGAAAAAGAAATACAAAGGCACAGGTTCTTCGAATCGAACTAATTAATCCCGCGCAAGCTGTGTACGTTATGCGTAAAGCGATTTATCTCTCAATCGTCGTCGATTACGTGAAACAGTTTACCGCCGATAATACGTAGCCTCATTCTTCTTCGGTATTAATTAATAATTAATGTACAAACGCACAAACGTGTACGTGCTCACGACGAACATAATCGCGGGCGGAAGTCACTTTATACGGTAGCGCGAGCGGTTAATGCCTGCGGGGGTTGTTGGGCGTATATTACGGGGGTGAATTTCGACTGTAGTCGCGGTAGCGACGGTTGTGGGTGCCATTAACAGCGTTTCGCCGGAAATGTAAAGCATAATGCGCCGGCAGCTCGTGGATATGGAACCTATTACCATCCGCGTGTATAATGCTACCTTCCCGCCACCGCCCCATTACACCTCGCGCGTCTCGCCGCGTTGCGTTGCGTTGCGCTGCGTTTGCAGAGCGTACAAGAAGAGTCCAAACTAGTCTCGCGTTAAAGGCGAAGAGTACAGATCCTTGCACGACGCATAATGCATAGAAAAAAGTCGACCAATCAGGGTCTTTTATTTTATAGAAAGAAAGGAAATGAAGGACTTTGATTGGTTCATTTTTTTTATGCGTTATGCATGACTCTGTGCTTCCGCCCTAACTTTGTTCTCCACATCTCATTTGTTAGATCAGCAGCGAACGATCTTCGACGGTTTGGAAAATTTTGAAGTTTCAGTTCAAGAAGTTTAAGAATCCTCTATTTGTCGATAATACGCTCTTAATAATTTGATTCTTTAAACAATTAATCGAGTTCATGGATTCTCTGCAAATTGTCCAAAGTTTAGAAGAATCTCATTTCAAGGTTAACGCGATCATAAAAGATATCATTTAACTGACGTGTATTTTTAATTTAATAAAAGATTAATTTACCGGATAATCATAAAACATTTAACGTTAAATAAGTTATTTGAAAAATCGCATCTCATTGATTTAAAAGAGAAATATTTGAACGAAAGGAAAAATATGATAAGAAATATTTCTCTACAATTACAGAGTTATATTTCTAAGACTATAACTTAATCAAGAAACACAGTAGTATCTTGCGTTAAGTATATTATTTTTTAATTGAAAGAGAAATTTCAAAAGTTAATCGCGCATGTAGTAAGTCTTCTTTATATTTAGTCTTGTCGAATTTAAATCGCATACGATTCAGAAAAAGTTTCTCGGAAAACCGCTGTTCCGTTGGCGATTCCGCGCGAGATAGAATCGAGTTTGAGTTCACTAAATCGACAGCTTGGCGTCTTGCAAACAGAAGTGACGTGATCCTGTTTGCGCTCAGTCGGGCATAATCCGAGGTAATCCTCTTGCACAATATGCGAATGCAATGCGTTCTGACCTCCTTCCTCTTCCACCCCCGCTCGTTTCCCCCGCTCCTTCTCTCATATATACATAAACGTATGCCTTTCGCGCCTCTCGTGCTCTTTCCTCTTTTCTGTATCTCATCTCCCGCGCCGTCTTCTTAGTACATGCAAGGAAGTGCTCCTCTTGTATTATAGCGCAAAGAGCATCGTGGATAATGAAAGGGAAAAAGGGGGAAGTGTCTTGAGCAGACACTTGTTCTACCTCGCGTTGAATTCTATCTGCGGAAGTGAATCGTCTTATAAATTATAACGTGAATTTGATTCGATTCAATGAACCTTGCATAAACATCCTTGTGAGAGAGATGTCTTCGTCAGCTTTGACATTTTTCTTCAATCTTCTGCTTATACGAAAAACATATCTCTCAATTTGCGTATTGATGAAGTAACAACGATTTTGTGGGAATATAATATCTCTCTAATAAAATACCATTTAAACTAAATGCAATACTTGTTTTATTTTATTTAGAGTTAGCATTAAATAGATATCTTTGGGCAGTATTTATAGTCCGTTCTTATTTTAATTTACTGTCAGTAATGTCTTAAGATGCTGATACACGCGTCTCTGATTAGTTCATGACATCTTAATTGTAGACTTAAGACGATCCTAAATATAAGATCCGACTATGAATACCGCCTTTCGTCACAACCTCAAGCTTGAGAATTATTTCTCATTTTACGCTGCTTAAGTATTAATTGTTGCCCTTTTCGAATTGTTTCTAACGTATAAAACATGTTCCATATTTAAGACATTGAAAATTGATCTCGATTTAATCGAAGCGAATTAAACGGAAGCATCTGTAAGCTTCGAGAGATTACTTTTAATTTCCGTAATATATTTTGCAATGCCGTTAACGATTTGATACGACTTTTACCCCCTCGCATTTAAACTTCTTTCACAAATTGTTTTTCTTCTTACAGCTTCACATATGCGTTTTATATATGGAGCGATACAACTCGTACGCTTTCAGCCGACTAACCCTTTCCGACGCTAATTATCACGCTTAGCTCCATTTTCATTCCCTCCAGTACCAACAACTCTCACTTCATCCTCTTTTTTTTCTGTCTGCAGTAGTGAAAAATATACGGAGAGTGTTACGCAAGTAGTTCACATCTTCAACGAGCGTGATCCTCGGTAATTAAAACACTTCATGTCATCAATGTAACGACGTTCGAGATTCCATTCGTTTCAGGGATGATTCACGTTCTTTGTATTTGAGAATATGAAGAACGACTGATATTGTATAATGATACATGCAATTATTAATAAATAGCTCTGTTAATAAATAACATAAATTTGAAAAATGTTAATAGAAATTAATATAAATATTAATTAAGAAATTATTTATTTTGATAATCTGCTATAATTTTTACCAGAGTACCTTACACATAAAAATTTATCAATGATTTATCTTGTAATTCTAAATATTTTTTATTAAATTTTATTTAAGATAAAAAAGTTTTTCAATATGTGAAAATAAGGGCATGTAAGAATCAACGTGAATGTCATATATGTCAGTACCTAAAATTACTAAGAATTATGGTGTAGAACAACGTTTATAATAAAAAGAGTAATAATAATAGTAATGATAATTCATCTGATTCTGTATGGTTTATCGTCCCATATATGCAATAAATATGTCTGAAGTTTAATCAATTTATTAACAAAGATACCAAAGTGTTATTTTTCAACATCAATAAACTATCTGAATTTATTAAGGTTCACTCAATCAAAGATTCTTGTCTACATTTGTCTAAAAGCAACGTTGTATATACATATAGGATTGACTGTAAAAATTGTAATGCTTCTTATATCGACTAGAGACGGGTAGACAGTTAAAAACACGAATTAACAAACATCATAATCATATTTGCTGGAACTCGTGTACCAGTTCGGTAATTATCGATCATAGGCTGCAATTCGACTATCATTTCAACTGGGATAATATAAGAACCTTGGATGAAGAACCTTGTTATAGTAAATGACTAATATTGGAGATGATTTACATTAAGAAACAAAATAAGTCTCAATTTCCAAACAGACATAGAGAATCTTCACTCCGCGTATTTTCCTATTATAAATAAAACAAAACTTGCGTTATCATAACTGTTTTCTTAATCAATATCTGCTGTTCTTAATCAATATCTCAATTGACGTTCATTTTAATAATTTGACTCTTATTTAAAAAATTTTTTGAAAAATTTTCTATTCAAAATATTTCTGAGCGTTACTTGCAGTTCTAATTTTCAACCGTTCTGTGAATTTCTGGAGTTACTTAACATGAGAACTGGAAAGACATTGTTGCATTTTTCTTCTTAATTTATTTGTTTCGAACATCTGAAGAATGACATCAAAAAGGCAGCCGGAATATGTAATAACGTAAACTTTATATATATATAT